TTAAGATGGAAGCGGGTACAAGCAACACCTTGGTGTTCCATGTGGTAAGCGTATCGCACGACATCTCGAAGCCACATCGAGGCGATCATGGACGTCCCGTGGGGTTTCTTGGAGCTACCTTGGAGCTGTCTTGGAGCTAAGTTTAAACTTGGGGCCCTCTTGGAGCTCGTTGGGGGGTCTGGGGCGCCTCGCGGGGCAGTCTTGGGCACCATGTTTCAAAAAAGTGGGGTGCTAAATTCTACCACTCCACCACCTCGGAGGCTCAAGAATGTCGCATTGTATGGGCCATTCTTGGAGCGTTCTTGTGCGCTTGGTGGGCCGTCTGGGAGCCCTCGTGGGCCACGCATGGTGCTCTCGCGGGCCATCGTGGGGCCATCGTGATGCCTCAAAAACACAATGGAGGCAAACAACCGATGACGCAAACACACTTTAAACGGAGAAGGTTAAAGGCGAGGTATAAATCGAGCATGTACCGCTGCCGTGCCTGGCTCAAGCCGGGCCCGGCCTAATATGTGACTGTGCCTCACCGAGGCGCACTACTTGCATCAGAGATCGGAAAATCCCTTTTCCATTGACGATGCCCATCCTATCCTTTACTCCAGATCCCATGCTTCGTCTTGCTCTCTTGCTCATGCGATATGAGCCAAAGCCTGGGATATGGCAACGCTTAAAGCGTAACACATACCTAAGCTTACCAGCTTGTTTTCGACTTGGTAGCGGAGCTGGCTACACTCTCGTGTGGCTGGCTCTCGCTCTGATTCCTGTAATCCACGGCACAACTTGGTGGACTACTACTACGGTGGAATACCATGTTGCGCCGGCTCTGCGAGGAGCGGAGCCAGTCCGCGATCGAGCTAGCGGGGCAACCCGCGAACTCGAGACGCTCTCTCCTACTTCACTGCGCTACTTCACTCCCGACTTCCACCAGATGCCAATCGGCAACTCGATCGAGAACGTGGTCACCCTGCGGGGCTACCCGCAGCGGGGCCACCTGCATCCCGTGCCGGTCAGGCGCCTCACGGCTACCACGCCAGAGCCTGACAAACCACAGCCCAAACCAATCACCGAAGCCGAAATGCACATGCATTGGATCAAGATAACTATCTTCGGCATTCTGTGGGTAA